CATTTAGTCATTCAACAAGTAATTTATTGAACCTTTATCCTGTGCCAGGTTCTGAGCTAGGCACCAGGTTGGGTAGAAAATAGTACCTTGGTACTTACCCCACCAAAACTTAATGCCAGCGGGAGACATTGACAAACACAACTTAAGCAAATAACTAAATAAGATAATTACAACTTATGATCAGAAGAATAGAGCAAGAATCCATGAGGCTGAAATGAAGCCTAAAGAGGGAACTTATGTTTTTGTAAGGATGTGCAGGTTCTGTCTAAGCTGAAGCCTGAAAGTGAGAAGAGTCCAGCCGTACAAAGAATAGGTGAGAAAGCCCATCAGGAGGACCAATGTTGCAAAGGCCCTAGAGTATGAAGGAACATGGGATGTTGCAGAAAAATGTGGAGATCATGGTGGCTGGAGGATGTGAACATGAAGTGAGAGAGGACCACAAGGACTTGAAGAGCCGGTAGAGGCCAGGACTTAGTCAGGAGTTTGGATTTTCCTGGAACTGTAGTGGGAAGTCACATACAGGATTTAAGCATAAGTGTGATGTGGTCCCTTTGTTTTTTTTTTTTAAATATCACAATGACTGCATGGAGAAGAACTGTAGGAGGACATTCACAGGACCAGGAGGTGGCTTTGGGGCAAATGCCACTGTGAAGGCACCCATTGGGAGAGCAAGGGCCAGCTCTGGAATGCATCTAGCCTGCATCTGTTGTGGATGGATATGCTGGGGAGGGACAGGCACTGATCCATAGTGATTCCCATTTGGAGAGATTGGAGCTATCAGGGAAGGGACTTTCAGCAGAGTGGAGGAAGTCTAACTCTAAAGTTTAGCATCAGAATCATGGAACTCAGGGTGTCTGCAGGGTATCCACATTGACAGAGCAACTGAACACCTAAGGCTGAATTGAGATAAGTGATCTGGGCTGGAGATAGAGGATTTGAAGGTATCTGGACCCTTAGGATATGGTAGTTGGGAAGAAAAAATGAGAAGCAACAGGAATTAGTATTGGGCAGAGGGAAGGAGAAAGATGAAAGGAGAGTGAGGTCACAGGAGACAGGTCTGCTCCCTGCCCTTGAGTGCTCACTGGATCTGTGGGGTCACTGGAGGCTTTGACTAGCAACTCCCTTTCCCCCTCTAAAGAGAGGGTGTTCGCCACGTGGATGCACAAGTGAATGTGGCTGGGGGGTTGATGCTACTTGAGAGCTTTGGCTCTGAAGGGAAATAAGAAAAGGGGTAATGGCTAGGAGGGAGTCTGAGACCAAGGAATTGTATTGTTTTGTTTTGACGATGGGAGATGATTCCATAGAGAAAGAATGGTGATCAGAAGAGAAATAAATTGTTTGTGGGAATCAGGTCCAGGGGGTTGGAATCCTGAACATGATGGAGAGTGGCAGAGGGAACACCCTGAACTCCATTAACGAGGGCCTGTTTGAAGTCTGAAAACAGGAAAATCAAGGGGAAGCAGCCTGCATGAGGAGCTTTGTGCTGCAGTGCTGAGCCACTTGGGAATATAGTAGTGTCACAGGGTTGAAATAGAGGACAAGCAGACAATCAGATTGATGGGCCAGGACAGAGATGACACCAGGAGGGTGCTGAGAGGTAAGGAGGGAGGAAGCAGTGGGGCCTTTGCTACATCTGAAGGGTTTAGCAGGTGTAGAACAGGACACCTGGGCTAGAAGAAGAGGAGGGGGAAGAGAGCAAAATGGAGGAAGTCAGGCATTCAATGATGGCACGATTTCTGGTGATGACCATGTTCAGGGCGTGTCCCTGGAAGCCAGTGGCTGAAGGGGAGAGGACGGGAGGACTCAAAAGGCAAGGATGCTGGTGAGTCACCACGTGGATGTTGAAGTAATGGAGAATGGCAGGAGTTGGGGTGGGAAGGGGGATGGTGAGCCAGGAGCTACAGTCAGCAGAGAATGAGGGGAAGTGACCAGGAGAGAAGTTGATGACAGCTTTAGTGGGCACAGGGTGGTGCCATCAAAAGCAAATGCCTCATAGGGGTTGCTGTGGGGAGGAGAACTGGCCAAAAGGAATTCTCTGGGCGTAGGAATCTCCCCTGTGGCAATGGTATCCTCAGAAAACCAGGGTTCACAGTAAGACAGGAGGGAACAGGAAAGATCGTACTGTTTGGCACAATGATGTGGTTGCTTCCACTGGTGGGATGGTGCTGATGGGAGGAAGTTCTTCCCCCATCCATCCACCCACCCTCTCCCATCCAGCCACCACTCATTCCCATTCATTTGCCCACCTATCCACCCATCCATTTATTCATCTGATGACCCATCATTCATCTATCCCTTTCTCATCCATCATCCATCAAATCATCCTTGTATCCATCTCCTGAGTCTTTGTTGCACATCTCCTGTTTGGGGGCTTAGGAAGATGAAAACCATAATTCAGTCTGATTAGTGTTTGGGAGCCCCAAGGAGGGTGAGGCAGAAGCTGCCTAAATGATGATGCCTGCTCTCATAGGGAAGGGACATGTGACCTGAACCCTAAAGAGGGAGATCCACAGGAGGAAAAGAAATGGGAATGTCCCAAGCAAAAGAACGAATGAGCAAAGCAAAGTCTTCAAGATATGAAAAACCTGGTACTTTGAAAGTGTAGTGAGAAGTCCTGAACCTCTTGAGATTTGAAGCTGGGGAAAAAGGAGAGGCCAAAATGTCACTATTTATCTGCTTTATCTTAGAAGCTAAAGAGAGCCACCAAAGAAAACGAAATTGACAACTTCTACAGCCCTACAGCTGGCAATTACCTGGGGCTTGCTCAGATGTGCACTTCGGGGTAGGGGGAGCTATGGTCTCCCCAGGGTCCTAGCACAGTGCCCCAGACCTCAGTGTGGGGATGTCCTCTCGCCCCGGGGAGGAGACACATGTAGCTGAGGCAGTGGCTCCTGGCTGAGGCAGCACTCCTCTTGTGCTCACATGCTGGCCTCAGGCCTGACTTCCAACTAAGTCCAACTGGGAGGGCAACAGTTCTTTCACACCTACTGGTCCAAACCCACGCCCATCATCTCTCCCTTCTTATGTAGCTCAGGGGACAGACCACCATTCACTTGGTTGCCCACATATTTGCCCCGCTGTCTGCCTGGCATAGCCTTGTTTACTTTTCACTGACTGGAAAATTCAACTTTGCCTTGGAAGCCCAGTCCAAAGTGCTCCCCTGGGGATTCCTTCCTGGCTCCTCACTGCTCTGAGAAGGTTACTCCTGTCTGGGGGTCCCCCTCCTCTAGTGACAGCTCTCTCCCCAGCAGCCCCAGAGAGTACAAGTAAGGGGCTGCTGAGTGCCCAGGCCCTGCTCACATGCCTGAAAGGGCTCCGCATGGGAAGGAGGCTGCAGGGCCCAGGGCCATCTCTCACCTCAGGACCCCAGTACAGAGTTGGCTCCAAGGACAGGGATATTGACCTGAGTGTGAGGAGGTACAGTCCCAGCAGCTGGCCAGGCAAGGGGATGCCTTCTTAGAATGGCAGCTCAGTTCACCTGGAGAGCCTCATATTCCCAAACGGACAGTAAAACTAGATGCTTGATGAGGACTTTTCTGCTCTGACCCTTGGTGCAGTGGTGCCTAGAAGAGTTTGACCAGGAGGGGGGATGGGGAGGAATGGAAGAAGGGAGAGGCCAGTGAGTGCTGACTGGGGGCTATTTTCTACACGATGCTTAAATGAGACCTTGGTGTGTGGAGTGTGATATCCTGGTACCACTTGGTTGTATGGCTTGGGGTTAAGGTGTGTAAAACCATTTATGGTGGGGCTTCCCAGGTTCCACCCCACCCCATTAGCATGGCAGGACCCTAGGGCTTCAGAAGCTGAGGAGCAAAGGAATTGGACTTTGGCTCCAATACTGGGGAATCTGTGAGACTAGAAGGGCTTGGGGATAGGAGAATGGGCTCTGCTCCCCCCAGGAGGACAGGGACTTGGGGGAGGGACAGGACACAGCCCTGGGCCTCTAGCCATACAGTCCTCCCTTCCTGTTGTCTCAGGATGGTCCTGGCAGGATGCATCTGCCAGAGTTCCAGGCCCAGACCTCCCCCAGAGTTTGCTCCCACCCCCACCAGGATCCCACTCTTCCACACACATACATTTGTGTATACGCAAGAACATGAACCACAGATGTTTTTACACACCCTGACCCCAAGCCACACAACCAAATGATCAGGACAGCACACTCCACACACCAAAATCTCATTTCAAAACATACTGAAGACACACAAAGATGCACTCTTGCACACACATACAAAGCTACATATACCACCCAAAGACAGATTCACATGCCCAGGCCCACAGATACAGACATGCACGTGCCAAAGACCCACACCTGGCAACACATGCATGCAAAACACACACACACACACACACACACACACCACAACACCCCACTACCCCACCAGGAGGAAAATAATACATGCAGAGCTGGAGGGGAGGAGGGCTGGCATTCTGGTAGGCAGAGGGGCCTGAACCCAATCAGCCTGCAGTCATCTAGGGCTGAGGATGGGTACTTAACCACGTCAAGCAGATTTACTTGTGCATCTAAGGAACAGTTCTACAGGAAGACTTGAGGGTGTTGGGTGGAGGCCTGGGCAGGGAGAGCCCCCTGAGGCTGGGGCAATTAGACAGGGCCTATGCAGATGAGGAAAATAAAAAGCTGGTTGAGCCAAAGAGCAGTCATGAGATGGATTCCCTGGGATCTTGAAGTGGGTGAGGACATAAGAGGCTGGGTGGGGAGGCCAAGGCCTGGGTGTGTTTGGGGGAAGTCTGGGATGTGCAGGACCCCCTCATAAGCAGTGAGCGTAGGTGTGCAGTTTAAATGAAGCTGTGGGGGTCACATGCTTTAAGCCTCCCCCATGTAGAATGAGCCCTGCAGTCTCCTCCTTCTCCTTCATAATGGCCACTCAGCTCTTTATGGCCAGAGGCCGGAATCCAGGGCAGTCAGTTATCACTTAGGGCTGGCTGGACCTGCATGAACTCATGACCCAGTGCTACACTAACCCTGTCTCCCATGCCAGGCCTGGCAAGTGGTTACTCCATGACCCCCCCAACCCTGAACATTACGGAGGAGGCATACATCATCGACACCAGTGAGAGCCTATCCATCTCCTGCAGGTACTGAGCCCTTCCCACCTGGCAGTCCAAGGAGGCTACAGAAGGCCAAGGTGGGAGGTGATGGCTGAGGACACAGAAGACAGCTCCTCCTCAGGCCAGAGAGGCCTTGAGGCTGAGTAGGGTTCCCAGGATGTGGGTACCTAGAGGCCCTGCAGACAAAGGCACCATGTACTTCCAAACCTTACCCATACCTACCCCTCAGGTCACCCTGTATGGGCCCTAGATCACCTGCATTGACCCCCAGCCTCCCTTCTCTGGCCCCAAGCCCTCCCACTCTGCTCCCAGGACCTTCCTGTAGCCCCAGCTATGATCCAAGGCCTGAGCTTCTCTGCAGGCCAGCCTGCCAGGGGTCTCAGAGAGTTCCCTGGCCCAGGCTGGGTTTATGATATGTGCCTAAACCCCGGGCTGTCCCATCTCTGTGAGACAAGCTGTGGGTGAGGCTATTGGCCCTTTAGGGAGGCTCCTCAGGAACTGTCCCCCTGGGTTGCCACTGAGTGCAGGGGGCTTCCTGACCTCTCCTATCTTCTGCCAGGGGGCAACACCCCCTTGAGTGGGCCTGGCCAGGAGCTCAGGAGACACCAGCCACAGGGGAGAAGGACAGCGAGGACACAGGGGTTGTGCGAGACTGTGAGGGCACAGACGCCAAGCCCTACTGCAAGGTGCTGCTGCTGGGCGAGGCCCACGCCAACAACACAGGCAGCTACCTCTGCTACTATAAGTACATCAAGGCCCGCATCGAGGGCACCACAGCTGCCAGCACCTACGTGTTCGTAAGAGGTGAGGTCATTAAGACAAGTGAGCAGACCAGGTGTGGGCAGGGTCCTGGAAGGGATGGTTAGTGCCCATGCTGACCCCAGGCTGGCAAGAGGGGAGAAGGAGATCTCCCCCTACTCCAGATGGCAGCAGGCAGATGAATCATCACCACCCAGCCCCCATGGGGCTGCCCTGCCACCCCTGACCAGCCCTGGCCAGAGACTCCCTGAGCCCCGTCCTTCCTCAACTCCTACTCCCTCTCCTTAGACTTTGAGCAGCCGTTCATCAACCAACCCGACACACTCCTGGTCAACAGGAAGGACTCCATGTGGGTGCCCTGCTTGGTGTCCATCCCTGGCCTCAACGTCACATTGCGATCGGTACAATCCCAATCCCCATGCCAGGATTCAACCCTACTACCCCATCCCTGGGAAAGGTGGCTGCTGGTCTGGTCAGGAGGAAAGGAGTAGCCAGGCACTTACAGTCAGTGTATCCCTCCAGCAAAGCTCTGTGCTGCAGCCTGATGGGCAGGAAGTGGTGTGGGACGACCGCCGGGGCATGCGGGTGCCCACGTCACTGCTGCGTGATGCTCTGTACCTGCAGTGTGAGACCACCTGGGGCGGCCAGAACTTCCTTTCCAATCTCTTCCTTGTGCACATCACAGGTAGGGCCTGCTCCTGGCACCTCACCCAGTCACCACTCCCTGTGCCCCCAAGAGGAATATGGCAGGAACCCCCATTCCCAGTAATAGGGCTATTAGTGACACAGCTGATCTTGAGGAGCATCCAGTGCTCTGCAGTCTGTGTGGTGGGTGTCCTGTGTATGTCCTGTGAGGGGTATGGGAGTCACTGTGCATGTTTCACCAGGCAATGAACTCTATGACATCCAGCTGTTCCCCAAGAAGTCACTGGAGCTGCTGGTCGGGGAGAAGCTGGTCCTGAACTGCACAGTGTGGGCTGAGTTCAACTCAGGGGTCACCTTCGACTGGGACTATCCAGGGAAGCAGGTGAGGTTGGCAGCCCTGCAGGGCGCCTTCCTCCTGCCCACAGCTGTCCTGTTCCCATCACTGCCCAAGCCCACCTGTACCTGGCACACACTGGGCCTCTGTGTGGAGGAGGTACAGGCCCAGCCAGCCCCATGAAATCCAGTCTGATGGGAAAATTTTCCACCCCAAGGAAAACTGGGTCAAGGCTTCCAGAGCCAGCACTGGCTGGGCAGGGGTGTGTGCCTTTGGTAGGTCCACTCTGCCAGAGCCCACCTGCTGACCCTGGGCTTCCCCTGGGTGTGGGCAGGCAGAGCGGGGTAAGTGGGTACCTGAGCGGCGCTCCCAGCAGACTCACACAGAACTCTCCAGCATCCTGACCATCTACAACGTCAGCCAGCACGACCTGGGCACATATGTTTGCGAGGTCAACAATGGCATCCAGAAATTCCGGGAGAGCACTGAAGTCATTGTGCACGGTATGGCCTGGAGTTGGATCATTATGCCCAGCTTGGCCCCGGGGTGGGTCCAGCATCATAAAGCCTGAGGAACAAGGGTCCTTGTGCAGTGTAGGCTTGGGGTCAAAGGCCATGGTGCACCTAAGCAGCAGGGAGTCTAGCCAGAGGAAAGGGAAGGCTATGAGCAGAAACCCTGCCTGGCTCCCACATGCTGGATGGCACGGCAAGCCTCCATCTTCAGGCTACTGGGGCTGCAGGGGCTCTGCAGGGGCTGGAAATCCCTGGTCCTCGATGGGTCAGCCCCAGATTTACACCCATGCCTCCTGTCTGGCAGAAAAGCCCTTCATCAGTGTCGAGTGGCTCAAAGGACCTGTCCTGGAGGCCACTGCAGGTGACGAGTTGGTGAAGCTGCCTGTGAAGCTGGCAGCGTATCCCCCGCCGGAGTTCCAATGGTAACAGCCCTGGGCCCCCCTCCCTTTCCCATCCTACCAGGCCCAGCACAAGAAAGGACTGAGGGACGAGAAGGGCAGTGTCCTTCCCCATCAGGGCCTGCACCCTGAGACCCAGGTGGGGACCTTCCATGAGGATACCCCCTAAAAAGCAACTACATCATACAATAGTTCAACTAGAGGAAGGTTGGCCCAGGATGCTATAAAACCATGAAAAGATTAAGTACCAGCCTGCTTAGTATATATGGTGTGGTGGCAGAGAGGAGGACTTTAACTATTTCCTGCAACTCCTCAGCATCTCTAAAGCCCTGAAAGCTGGACTCATTTACATGCTGAGTAACTATAAGGCCAGTCACACATCAACGACCTCAGTCCCTTAGTCCTTTCAACTAGGTTGCCTCTCCCAGGACCCTCTTCTCCAGAAATCTGGAGATACCATAGGGATTGAACAAAATGTTATGGAGCCTGGCCCTGGGCAATAAAACTAGAGAGTTTCCAGGAGGTTTACCGAATGCTAGAGCCCAGGCTTCATTCTGTGAGCTGAGAAACCAAGGCTTCCCTGTGGGGTGTGTTCAGGGCAGTGAGGGGACCCCTCAGTAGTAGCTCTGCCCTTGCTGGATGCTCCCAACAGAACTCAAGGGAGCACAGAACCTCTCCCCAATGCTTCCTCAGCCCTCTGAGCATCCACATGGCTCATCCACGGTAGATCATGCTGACCCAAGCTGCTATTATATAGGTGAGAAAACAAGTCAGAAGATGGAAAGGGCATTCGTCGCCTGGGCTCCAGCATTCTGTCCTCCCAGCCTGAGTACCTCTCCCACCTGGAAGGATAGTTTTTCTGGTGCTGGGCATGCAGATGCCCCAGATATCCTCAGCCAGGAGCTACTTACACTACTGTAGACTAAAAGTAGGCTTCTCTTGGAAGAGCCTGGAATGTCCTGGCCCTTAGCCTAGTGAGGCCACAGCCTTGGGAGTCCACCCGGCACAGTGCCAGAGCTTTTGAGGCAGAGTCTTGAGGGCAATGGTGTAGCCAGGAACTTCACTTACAAAAGAGGAGTTCCTAGAGACATCCAGAGCCTGTCCCCTGCCTTCCAAGGCCAGAAGGACTGAGCCTGCTCAGGGTGAGTGACCAACTCTGCTGCATCTGGGGTCCAGCCTGATCCCTAGGCAGCTGTTTTTCCACTGGAACATTCCCACCACATCTGGACCTTCTCCTGCTTGGCCAGCATCTACTTCCAAGAAGTTCTCAGCTGGCCCAGAGCACTACTAGGTAGTCACCAGAGCCCCACAGGTGCCCACTATTCGGTTGGCATCATCTTGTGATAACTCTGAGACAGTGACTGAAGGAAGGTATAGTGATCATAAACAGACAAGCTGGTCCTTGGTTCCCGAAGTTCCCAGTGTGCCCAGCAAGGTGCTGATGTTGTCTTGGCCCTCACAACCCCTGCAAGGTACATTTCCCCAGTTTTCAGATGAGGACCCTGAGACTTGTGATGGAAAGGGGATCTGCCCAAGGGCAACAGTCCCAGCAAGTGGCAAAGTTGGATTCTAACAGCCCTCTGCACCAGTGCCAGACAGATAGCACAGGCTTGTGCTTTCCTGCCTTGTCCTGCTCTGTGACCCTGTGCAAGTCATGTCATTCTCTGAGTCAGACTGCTGTCAGAGGTGAGAGATCTCTGTGTCCCCATCACCGTAGTTCTCTGCCCAAGAGATGTGCCTCTCCCAGGCCACACACACAGCATCTCTCTGGCTTAGCACAGTTGGTACCCAGAGGGGAAGCACCTGAAGAGGAAGGACTGTCTGAGTCCAGAACTCAGGTGGCAGAGGCAACTGCCTACAGAAATTCCAGCTCATGACTAGGGAGGAGCCACTGTGGGGTGGGAGGCATCTATTTCCTCCAATGTGCAGCAAGTATCTATGGAGCACCTACAGATGTCAGGCAGAGCTCTACATGTACGATGTACAACAGGAAGGAGACAGTCCTCATGGGATTCATAGCTCAGTGGGGGTGTGGACAATCAATAGACACACATATCTAAAAATCAATAGGCTATCTGGAGATGTAGCTTGTGGTAGAGCAAATAGCAGGGCGTGAGGCCCTGGGTTAATCCCCAGCACTGAAACAAAACGAAAAGAAAGAAAACCAATGGGCTAATGATCAGTAAGACAGGGACAGGGTCCAGCCAAGTACCACCCACATAATGAGACAGGAGAGGATAAGCTAGTATTCTTTAATGAATACTCTAACCCAAAAAAAGAAAGTAAAGAGCCCTGCCGACTATCATCTATAGGAAAGAGGATCCAAGCAAGAGCAGCAGTAAATGCCAAAATCCTGGGTAGACCATGTGTCTGGAGAGCTCAGGAAAGGGCAGGATTGGGGATCAGAAAGCCAAGCAGGGATCTCCTTGCATGGTAAGAAGTCCAGTTGTGCTCCTTGGGGGCTAAAGCTTCACTTCTGGATTTGGACTGTGAGAAAGAGGACATTGAGAGCCCTGTAGTTGGTACCTGATGCTGCAGCCCAACTAGTATGGAAGAGCCAACCAGAGGAGACTGGGGAGATGGGCAGAACCTTCCTAGACTGAACTTGATAAGCCTGGTAATTGAAGGCAAACCAAGGCCACAGACAAGGCAGAGTTAAGGGGACTGCACTGAGCAGAAACACAGTCTCCCCATCACTTGGGGAAAGATCTCAAAGGCTTTAGGAACAAAGGCAGGAGTTGCTGCTGCAAGGTCTCAGGGATTTTCCTGAGCTGACCACCTGATGGAGTTATGAGACCCAGCTGATAAAGCCTAAAGCCTTTGACCATCTGTTCCCCAGACCAGAGACTGCTGCCCCACCCATCCCACCCACACTGCTACTGGCCCTTTCTGGCCTGATCCAGGAGGGGCTGCTTGCTCTGACCTGGCCCATCAGGAAAAGCCACTTGGTCTTCTCTTCCCATTTCCAGCAGTATACATGGGCCCTCCATATCTCTGTGTTCTGCATCTGTGGATTCAAACAACTGTGGATTGAAAATATTTGGAAAAAAAAAAATGTGTCTCTACTGACCAAACATGTTCAGGCTTTGTTCTTGTCATCATTTCCTAAATGCTTTGGTATAACGCAGCATTTACATTGCATTTACATAGTATTTATATTGTATTAAGCATTGTAAGTAATGTAGAGATGGAGGGATGTGCATGGGTTATATGCAAATAGAAGAGACTAGAGCATTCAGGAAGTTGGGTATACAGTGGGGGGATCCTGGAACCATTCTGGCTGGATGGGGTGGAAGTGTCAGCATGAGGCAGGGTCCACACAGCCCCTGAACTCCCTTCCTGGGCCAGGTACAAGGACAAAAAGGCAGTGACTGGGCGCCACAGTCCACATGCTCTGGTGCTCAAAGAAGTGACCGAAGCAAGTGCAGGCATCTACACACTCGCCCTGTGGAACTCAGCAGCCGGCCTGAGGTGCAACATCAGCCTGGAGCTGGTGGTGAATGGTACAGGCAGGGACGATGGGAGAGGGGACAGGTGGTTGGGTAGGTGTGGTGATGGGGCCACCTGATTGGCCGATGCCTGTTCCCCTAGTACCCCCACACATCCATGAGAAGGAAGCCTCCTCCCCCAGCATCTACTCCCGCCACAGTCGCCAGGCCCTCACCTGCACAGCCTATGGGGTGCCTCCACCTCTCAGCATCCAGTGGCACTGGCGGCCCTGGACACCCTGCAAGACATTTGCCCAGCGCAGCCTGTAAGTATGCCCCAACCCCATTCTCCTCTATTTAACCTCCATTTCCCCAACCTCAACCATGGTGAACTCAGTTTTCAGCCCCTCTTGCCACCCAGACCTTACCTGTACCCCTCCCAGAATCCCTATTCTGAACTCAAACCCTATCTTTGCTTTTGTTGCCTGTGCTTTTGAGGTATTATTCATAAAAACGCTTTCCCAGACCAACATCATGAAACAGCTTCTCTATTTTTTCTTGTAGTAACGTTATAGCTTTAAGTATTATAATTTTAATCAATTTCAAACTGATTTTTATAACTGGTGAGAGACAAGAGTCTAGTTTCATTCTTCTGCATGCGGATAGACAGTTTTCTCATCACTGAAGAGACTTTTGTTTTCCCAGTGTGTGTTCTTGGCACCTTTATGTAAATCAGCTCTAAGTGCATGTATTTATTTCTGGGCTCTCTAATCTGTTTCATTGGTCCAAGTCCCTGTTTTAATGCCAGTACCATGCTACTTTGGTACTGTACCTTTATAGTATATTTTGAAGTTGAGTAGTGTGATGCCTCCAGCTTTGTTCTTTTCATTCAAGATTGCTTTCACTATCCAAGGTCTTTTGTGGTTCTATCTGAATTTAAGATTGTTTTTCTATTTCTGTGAATATTGTCATTGGCATTTTGATAAAAGCAATTGCATTGAATCTGTAGATCACATTGGACAGTATGAGCATTTTAACAATATTAAGTCACTGATTCAGTCCTATGCCAGCAGGCCAGGCTGGACTATGGGGATGGGGCTAGCCCCCACCCAGTTCTCTCAAGAGCAAGCCCCTGGATGCATAATTGCATCATTTAGGAAGGACAAAAGGAAGTGCATCTGGGTACCAATGATGGCCCCTCCCACGAAGTGGGCAGACTTGGAATATTGCTATAAAACTCTGTTCTGGGCCTCAGAACACACTAAGCATGTTTATGTGCCTTTGCTCATCTATGCAGCTCACAATCACCCCCCTATAGATAAAGCAACAACAGGTTTAAAGAAGAAGGGCAACATTCTCAACAGAGAAAACAGAGCCTACCCAACTGCTGAGCAATGCCCCCTTATACTAAGCTGGATATCAACAAGACAGATGGGCCAGGGAGAATATTTATGGCAGAGACAACTTAGACAATGCAGGGGACAGGAGAGGAGGATGCTGAGGTGAGCAGAGGTCTTGAAGGCACTAGGGTGGGACAGTAAAGAACATTAAGCATGGAAGTGATAGATCAGATTTGCCATTTAGCTAGAGATCCTGTGTCACAAGCTAGGGAGGGATGGATGCCAGGAACCTAGACAGGAGTTAAGGGAAGCCCCACCAGCAACCAAAAGGCTATGGCTCCAGAACCATCAGTGGGGGAAGCTCAGTAGAAGTGGTGTGAATCTGAAACAGCCTGAAGTATCCAAGGATCATGAGGGATTCTTCAGGATCACATAGCCTACATCTCACACTGGTACCTCAAATTTGCTTCCCTCTGATGATCCACCATTATACTTCATACCAACTGAAAGAGCCAGGGGCCCAAATATGCTGGGGATGCACATCTAACCCCGGAGGAGAAAGGGAAAGATTAGTGGAGTGGTCCTCCTGAGGCAGAGTGATGACATGCTGCCCAGAGGCAAGCGAGGTAAGCAGATCCCAGGTAAACTCTGAAGGAAGCAACACAGCAAAAGTGGGATATAGTGCACAGGATGGAGTGCAAGGCCCTGAGCAACACTGCAGAAACAAACTCACCGGCCCTATTACTCACTTGGCCTGAGAACTGGCCCTACCCACTAAGGTGTAAGATGACTCTGAAGATGACAAAGACCCCTATCCCCCAGTGTGAGCTCTCCCTGGCTGTGTCTCTGATCTGCCTCCTGGTTTGTGACAGCCGTCGTCGGCAGCAGAGGGATCGCATGCCTCAGTGCCGCGACTGGAGGGAGGTGACCACACAGGACCCTGTGAACCCCATCGAGAGCCTGGACACCTGGACCGAGTTTGTGGAGGGGAAGAATAAGGTACAGTCCAGCCACCAAGGGGCCAGAAGAGAAGGGGAAAGAAGGGTGGTTAGGAGGGCTCTCTTCTGCCTTCTCTGTTTCCACCTGTCCAGAAGAGCTTGGGGAAAGCAGCTGAGAACCAGGTGACCCTTCCTCAATTTCTGGGCCTCAGCTTCCCCTCCTACATGCACATAGGAGTCAGGCTTCCTGCTTCTTCCCAGACAACGAAGCAGAGATCCAAGATCTCCTGGCCAGGCCACAGTCCCCTGTGCTCACAAACACCAAGGCTTGGAGAAGATGGGGCTGGAGGCTGACCAGGTCTCCACAGAAGTCTGCTGAGCTGCTAGACCAGCCTGGGGGCAATGCTAAGAAGAGGCCAGGAGGGGGAGGGGGAATGAACAAAGGCACCCACTTCCTACAGTCACTTCCTGTTTTCCTACACACCTCCAGAGCCTCTTCCTGTTCCAGGGCTGGCCAGGAAGTGCCCGGCTTGGGGTGGGGGTGGGGGTCTTTGGATGGTAGGCAGGGCCTATGGCCCTGTCTCCTCCCATACTTCTCAAGTTTCTTACTCTCTGAAGCCAGAATTTTTTCTGAAAGCCTGGGACACCTGCTACCTACCTCCCAAGATTATCCTGAACACTAGAAAAAGGTGCTCTGGAATCAATGTGGCACATCACAAAGATCTCACACAATGACCACTATTGACCTTAGGCCAAGCTTGACCCCAGTTCAGGAGTAACTGATGCCTTGATGTGACCACAGTCTGAATTTTAAACCTGTCTTGTACTGACCCAATTGTCACGTTGACTTCTGACCCTTCAACATGGCCATAGACTAAGCCCAGTCACAGATTGAAGTCTCTCTGTTCCTGCCAAAAACTGCCCTCTGACCTCAGCCACAGGAAAGAGGAACTGTCCATATACTGTCCGTTGACTCTTCTAGGGACCCTCCTAACTCTGCTGTGTGAAGGCCATTCCTTCTCTTCCCTGCCTCACCATTCCTGGTCCTGTCTCTGAACTTTGTTCATTGACAGCCTAAAGCTTCAGTTTCCCCATTCCTGGTGGGCATAGTGGCCTCCTTGCAGAAGGGGAGGGTCCAGGTTGAAGAACTCAGGCTAGAAATGGATCTTTGTACCTGTGCTCTACCTAGACTGTGAGCAAGCTGGTGATACAGGATGCCAATGTGTCTGCCATGTACAAGTGTGTGGTCTTCAACAAGGTGGGCCAGGACGAGCGACTCATCTACTTCTATGTGACCAGTGAGTGACCAGACTGCCTTTCAGAGAGGGCCTCTTCCCCTGATCAGCCCTGGGTGCAAGGTCAAGAGCCGGGTTTGACTCATTGTATTTCTGGTGATTATGAGGCACTGGAGAGATATATATAATGCCCATAGGGCCTTGGGGCTGGATGAGAGGGATACATTTAGAGATTATCAGCATATGGACTAAGTGTTGGTGCACTGGGGTAGTAATACTGTCTGCCCTCAGCCCTGAGCCATCTCCCTCAAGGGTGTCCTCTGGTTCTCTGCAGCTACACTTGACTCCTGCCACCCTTCCAAAACTCTGTGGAGCCCTGTGGTTCATGTGCACATTTTGCTCTGGAAAGGTCTACAGCTTACTCAGATTTTCAAATGTATTGATGACCTCAGGAGAACTCAGAAGCCTAGGAGTGGGCAGTCACTGGACCCAGGGGTGTCAATGAGGGCACCCCCAGAGAAATGGAACCAGGGAGAACACTTGGGGGCAGGGAGGAGCCCATAAAAGCCTGACAAGAAATTATTAGAATCAAGAGATGGAAACCCAGAGTGTGGTACGGGCAAAAGTTAATGAAGAAATTGTTTCAAGAAGAGGAGGAGTAGTGGGGTATGGTCAGTAGGAAGAAAGAATGAAGAATGGGCCCCACTGAGTCTAGGAGACTCAAGGAATCTGGCCTCCTAGGAGAGGTGAGAGCAGCAACCTGGTTGGGGCTTGATCAGGACAAAGAGAGGTAGGAAGTCAGGAGGAGACCCAGTGAGGTGGGGCTGACATCAGAGATGTGGGTCCATTGGTCAATGAAGGGGAGAAAGAAGAAGGAAGTGAGCTCTAGAGTGGTATGATCACCTGGATACATATGTGCACACCCTTCATTGGGAACTAAGTGAATTCGAAGGCCAACTGGGAAAGGGGAGAGGGCAGATAGGTAAGCGAATATCTGGGCAGAGTCACAGAGGTTCCTCCCCACTTCCCAGCCATCCCCGATGGCTTCAGTATAGAATCGGAACCCACTGAGGAGCCTTTAGAGGGCCAGTCCGTGCGCCTCAGCTGCCGAGCCGACAACTACACTTATGAGCATCTACGTTGGTACCGCCTCAACCTGTCCACGCTGCACGATGCCCAAGGGAACCCGCTACTGCTCGACTGCAAGAACGTGCACCTATTCGCTACGCCGCTGGAGGCCAATCTGGAGGAAGGGAAACCAGGGGAGCGCCACGCCACTCTCAGCCTGAGCATCCCCCGAGTGGCGCCCGAGCATGAGGGCGACTACGTGTGCGAGGTGCAGGATCGTCGCAGCCATGACAAACACTGCCACAAGAAGTACCTCTCAGTGCAGGGTGAGGCGAGCCAGGCCGGTGTTCAAGGGCGGAGCCACGCTTCTCATCTCGCCTCCGCGGCTTCTGCCTTTGCACCCAGCCCAGTAGCGCTTGGGTAGTCTATTTGCAAGTCTGGGTCGGCAGGAGCATTCCACTACCCAGCTCAGCCCCGCCTCTCACTTGCACGCACAATCCCCGACCCTTCCTTCAGTATTGTGCAACCCATCTCACCCTTGCACCCCCACCTCCCACACCTCTGCTCCGAGTCCTGCCCGGAGTGCTGGTTCTTAGGTGATTTTTACTTTCTGCGCCTCCACTTAGCTCTCTCTCCACCCCCACCCCCAGCCTTAGAAGCTCCTCGGCTCACGCAGAACTTGACAGACCTCCTGGTGAACGTGAGTGATTCCCTGGAAATGAGGTGCCCGGTGGCTGGAGCGCATATACCCAGCATTGTGTGGTACAAAGACGAAAGGGTTCTGGAAAAAGAGTCTGGTAAGGAGGGTGGCCTGTGGCGACCGTGGGGGTCGGGAGGTCTTCAAATCCAACGCCCCTAGGCCCACCTGAGCTGAAATCTCCATGCCACCCGATAGGAATCGACCTGGCGGACTCGAACCAGAAACTGAGCATCCAGCGCGTGCGCGAAGAAGACGCTGGCCGCTACTTGTGCAGCGTGTGCAACGCCAAGGGCTGCGTCAACTCTTCCGCCAGCGTGGCGGTGGAAGGTCCGAGCTCCGCTTTGCTCCCATAGACCCATTTTCTTCCCTAACTGTAGCCTTCTTTTGTCCCATCTCATGCAAGTCATGCCTATCAGAAGGGGTAAGGTATAGCCTTTCCTCCCTCCCTCTTTTCCCATTCAGGCTCGGAGGACAAAGGCAGCATGGAGATCGTGATCCTCGTTGGCACCGGGGTCATTGCTGTCTTTTTCTGGATCCTCCTCCTCCTCATCTTCTGTAACATGCGAAGGGTGAGGTAGCTTCCCCTGCTGAGCCTCTCCCCAACTCCTAATGGGGTCTTTCTTTCGGCCAGCCCTTCCTTAAGAATAAAAACAAGTTCCCCAGCCTGGTTTGTCAGGTAGTCTCCTGGGAAACTTCCCCATCCTTCTATGTTGGGCTCCAATAAGAGAAAAGGTTATCTGTTGATCAGACCTTTACTCATTGAACCCCCCAAACAAGTGCCATCTGTAGCAGGCAAAGTTTTGCCCAAGCCACAGTGGTCGCGACCAAATCAACAAGCTGTTCCCACCCCTACCCTCAGCCGGGACATGCAGACATCAAGACTGGCTACCTGTCCATCATCATGGACCCAGGGGAAGTGCCTCTGGAGGAACAATGTGAATACCTGTCCTATGACGCCAGCCAGTGGGAGTTTCCCCGGGAGCGTCTGCACCTTGGTGAGGCCAGCATCCAGCCTGCCCAAGCCTGGCAGAGGCAGCCTCAGCTGCTCCAGGGTGGGCCCCATTGGTGTGCCAGAAATCCCTCCCTTCTCAGAACTCCTGCCAGGAAGGCCTGCCTGGTCCCCACCTGACCTGACCTGTTCCATCTGGGCCTTCATCCCCCAGAACCCTTGGCCAGCACCCCCAGTTCCCAGGCCCCTAGGTCATTTCCTTGCTCTGAGCAAAATGGATGTATCACACCTGCCTGGAGAGGATACTGAGGGCTTCCTGTCTGCCTCTCCTCTCCCTTTCTCTCTCCAGCTCCCTCTCCACACACTCTTCCTGTTTGGCAGAAGAGGTATCCCATGTTCCTCCTGCTTCTGCCCCTTACTTCCTGGCCTTGGGACAGGTCACCCTGCTACCCACCCTTCTCCTCCCTCAGCCCCAGGTTCCTCACCTGGAACCTGCTCCTTGCCTCCACAGGGAGAGTCCTTGGTCATGGAGCCTTTGGGAAGGTGGTGGAAGCCTCAGCTTTTGGCATTAACAAAGGCAGCAGCTGTGACACCGTGGCTGTGAAAATGCTGAAAGGTGTGGTGTCGACTGGGTCGAAGGGGCTTCCCAGCTGGGTGAGGAGCACCAGCAGCTCTTGGAGGGACTGTGGTGTAGGAAGGGAAATTGATGTTCAAAGATAGAATATCACCCAAGGATTTACAGGGAGGCAGTGGGAATCAGAGCAAGGTTTCTGCCTGAACCTCCTGCCTCAATGGGACCAGAAAGATGTACTGGGTACCCTGCGCCCCCACCCCATTGCTCCCTAGTACTGACTGTGCCTTAGTTAAGTCAGTGGCATGGGAGGAGGGGCGGGCAGGTCCCGCACCATGCTAAATCCCATGTATCCCCTCCAGAGGGCGCCACGGCTAGCGAACATCGCGCCCTGATGTCGGAGCTCAAGATTCTAATCCACATCGGTAACCACCTCAACGTGGTCAACCTCCTGGGGGCGTGTACCAAACCCAACGGTACCGAACCGGGGTGCCCTGGGGGAAGGACTGGGCAATTGCGGGGTGGGCTCACTCGCGCTAAGGATGGGAAGAACACGCTGGGATTGGGTTGGCAAGATTGGAGTAGGGTGGGGTGGGGCGCAGGAGGGATATCAGGCAGTGGTGGTGTAGGGCCGGAGCGTTGCTGTACATCTGTCCCTCCAGCTTGCCCTCAGTCACCAGTGCCTGGCTCTGCCCCACCTTTCTCCAGGGCCCCTCATGGTGATCGTAGAGTTCTGCAAGTATGGCAACCTCTCCAACTTCTTGCGCGGCAAGCGGGAAGCCTTCAACCCCTACGCGGTAAGTAGGCCCAGCCAGCAGAGCCAAGGGCTGAGGGTGGAAATGGAATGCGCCTCCCTAATGGGAGGCGAGCCCCCTCAGACCAGCTTTATCCATCTGTAGGAGAAGTCTCCCGAGCAGCGAAGGCGCTTCCACGCGATGGTTGAAGGCGCCAAGGCTGACCGGAGAAGGTCGGGGAGCAGCGACAGGGCCCTGCTCACACAGCTCCTGATGGGCAAGGGAGGGGCAGGGCGGGCTCATCCTGTTCAAGAAGGTAAGAGCCTGGCTTCCCCTGGCCCAGAGTCTGATTGGCACCTCATGATCAGGCAGCCCAGAATAACATCCTGGGGCCCTAGTGGAGAGGCTTCCATTAAAAAGCATGTAATGGACTCTGACTTAGGAAGGATTCCCCAGCGATAGTTTCCACAGAGCTTTTTGACATTTGAGTTGAGCATCACAGTGTGAATACCAGTTTGCATGAAGACAAGGTGGAGAAGCAGTGGAGGGTGGAGTAGCAGGTGCAGAGGCCCAGTGGTACAACAGTATTTACTGCTCTGGCAGTGATCCTAGAGAGTGGAGGTGAAGGTCAGAAGAGTGGCTGAGAGCTAGTACCCAGGGCCTCAGGGACCTGGCCAGGAAGGATGTAGTCAGGGTGGGTGAATAAATGTTCCCTTTGGGCTGGGTGGAAGATGAAAGTTATGGAGGAGATGCTCCTGAGCCCACCTCCGTCCTTTGTGCAGTGGAAGACCTGTGGCTAAGCCCACTGACCATGGAAGACCTTGTCTGCTACAGCTTCCAAGTGGCTCGGGGAATGGAGTTCCTGGCCTCCCGCAAGGTGAATTTCCCAAACCCCCATCAGGCCCTGTGGAGGGGAGAAGGTGCAAAACCAACAGGATGCCTATGTGTGCTCAGTCCAAACTTCACCCCAAAGTAGCCCCAGGATCAGCTCCTGTCTCTCCCATTTTACAGAAGAGAAAACTGAGAGCAAAGTAAGGAATTCACTTTCCAAGTCCCCTGGCTAGTCAGTGACAGAACTGGATGTGAAATCAGTCTGGCTGACTCCCTTTCTCTGCTATACCCACAATTCCATGAGTCCTGGGAATCACAGAAATCTTTCCCCAAAGGAGCAGGAATCAAAAAGGACACCCCCTGGAGCACTCTGGAGCTCCAGGCATGGTCATCACCCAGGCCATCTGAGCTGAGTAAATCCCCACCTCCTTGCAATCTAGTGCATCCACAGAGACCTGGCTGCACGAAACATCTTGCTGTCAGAAAGTGACATAGTGAAGATCTGCGACTTTGGCCTTGCCCGGGACATCTACAAAGACCCTGACTATGTCCGCAAAGGCAGCGTGAGTGCAAAAGGAGAAAAGTTGGGGGCCTGGGGAAATGGGGAGGAAGAGACCACAAACCTCCTGTTTGAGCAGGAGGGGTCGTGCTGGCTTAGGGTGACATGGGCTCCTTAGTCTACCAGGCCACCTGCCCAGATGCTGGGGGACTCACTGCTTCCAGTGCCTCCACTGAGCCTACAGAGGACCCTAGTGACCCTATCTACTAAGGCAGCCTGGGGTGGGAAAGTGAAGACATGAATTGACAAGCAGGGACTCTAGTGCTCCAATCAGAACTTGTGTTTTACCCAGTGTCTTGGTCCATTTGGTAGACACCACCTCCCTGTGTGGGCAGAGGAAGCCAGGTGATGTCTATCTGGAGATGGGTAGGCCTGGTGCAGGGGCCATCCTAGAAAAGTTCATCTATGTCCTACTGGTGAAGTTCAGAAGGTGCCTGAATGAGCATCCATGGCTGATTAGGGGTTTGCTCAAGGGAGAGGTGGGAAGAAGGCTGGAGGAAGGAAATGAGAAGGATGAGTCCAGAATGTGTTGTGACAGCTACCCTGTCTAGCATGGTCCCACACAGAAGGCTTTTGTCCTTCATTCCAACTCACAGGTGGGTGACAGCAGGTGAAGGAAGTAGTTTACAGAAGGCAGTCTCTGTAAGCTGTGAAGAGAGGGGGTGGGGATGCTGGGCTGGAAGCAGAGACCCTTAGGTAGAAGTAATGAGAGGAAAAGAAGCAAATGATGAGGAAGAGACATCAGCAACCCCGGGAGGAAGGGTTAGGAACTGACCTCTGGGAGGAGGATGTTTCAGTGTCTGACCTCAGTCCTCTCTTCCTTGCCATCCCGTGGAACACACTTCCCTTCATGTCCCCTAGGCCCGGCTGCCCCTGAAGTGGATGGCCCCTGAGAGCATCTTCGACAAGGTGTACACCACACAGAGTGATGTCTGGTCCTTCGGGGTGCTGCTGTGGGAGATCTTCTCCCTGGGTGAGTGCAGGGTGAGGTGTCCAACTTGGGGAGGAGAGAGGGGACCAGCTCCAGATTGTACCATCAGCATTTCTGATGCCAGGGGCGGGGCATGGAGGTGTGCACTTGGAGCAAGCTGTCTGATCATTCTGGGGCAGGTGGTTTGTCGTGTGCCATGAAAGCCTCCTGCCTCTACCCATCCTGGCCCAGCTCCCAGAGAACTTTGCCTCCATCCTGGCATCGTCTGGGTCCTGTTGCAGGACAAAGCCTTGGTTCACATGACAGCCTCCACCTCTCATGGCTCCCTGAGAGAGCTTGGTGCTCATTCAATGAACAGACCTACTTATACAAGTCCCACATAGGAACATGATGAAGTCCCCTTCTAGGGTGGAGGGAGGCAACAAACAAGAAAGTATCACCAATGGCAACGATGATAAATGCTGTCACTGAAAATAAAAGATCAGGAAGAATCTAGGAGCTTGGGTACTGTTGTGTGAACAAGAGGCACTCGGGAGGTCCAGGGTACATGAAGGGGAGTAAAGGGTAGGCATGTAGTTCAGTGGCAGAGGGTATGTTTAGCTTGCACTGGCCCTGAGTTCAAACCCCACCTCTGCAAAGTATTAATAATAATAATAATAATAATAATAATAATAATTAAAAGCGGGTAGCGTGGGTAGGCCTACAAAGACAACAATCAAGGACAGCCCAGCCCATTGTGCTTGGTTCTAATGTGTTGGAGATCCCAGGATGTGGGCACAGTGGGGCATTGGGAAATGCAGCAAGAGGGAGAAGTAGCTTTGTCAAAACTGGTTCTGTGGAATTCCACCACCCATAAAGGTCCTGGTAACTGTGAATTCACTAATTCGTATTGAATGTGTAGACATTCATGGCCCCCTAACAAATGAGTGGCCTCATCCTCCTTTAACTAGATAAAGAGCTAGACTGGGGGAGGACAGGGCAACAACTTGTCTAGGCCCCAGATTGGGCACAACAGAGTGAACCCCATCTTCACCTTGCTACAGGGAGGAAGAGAAAGGGTGGATGGAATAGGACAGGGGAAATTGGGAGGCTGGGCTGAGCAGTGGGCAGCCTGCTCCCCACTCACCTCAGTCCTTTCCTGCTCTCAGGGGCCTCCCCATACCCTGGGGTACAGATCAACGAGGAGTTCTGCCAGCGACTGAAAGATGGCACCCGGATGAGGGCTCCAGAGCTGGCCTCTCCTGCCATGTAAGTCTCTGGCTGGATGTGCAGGTGCTGGGGACTGGGGGGATGGGCACAGGGAGAGAAGAGTACAAATGCAACAGGTGGGGAGGGGGGATGGGAGGTGAAGCATGTAGGCTAGAAGAGGGTGTGCACACATAGAGGAAGGCCTGGGGACAGGCACAGAGAGAGGACACACAGCAATGGGGGCACTCTAGGGGACATGTAAACATGGAGGCAAAGGATGGCATTCAGGCACAGGAAGTACAGCATGCTGGCAGCAGCAGGAAACAGGCAGGCCAGGATGGGCCTGGGGCCTGTATAAACAGGCCCTCACTCCACCACTGACCAGTCAACAACTCCCTCCTGCTCTGTGCCATTTCCAAGGAGACTAGAGCCAATAGAGCTGGACTGGCCCTGGCCCTGGCAGGCAAAAAGGTAGTTAAGTAACCATAACTGTGATGGACAGGAGAGGTTTGGGTGCTCTGAGAACAGCCAGCAGGAGTTAGAAGGAGTCAGGGTGATCATAGAAAGCATCCCCAGGTGGGGATACTGAAGTGACACTTGAAGAAGGAGTGAAAAAGCAGCTGGAGAATGGTGGGGAGGGGTACCCCAGACAAGGGGAACAGTGCCTAGAGTAGGGAGACAAAGGGGGTGTAAGAGACAAGCTTAGTCTGGTTTTTGTTCCTATAACAACAACAAAAAATAAATAGTGGGTATTTTATCTGGAAAAGAGATGTATTTAGCTCATGATTTTGGAAGTTCAAGAGCAGGGCACCAGCATCTGTTTGGCACCAGCGTCTGTTCGGCATCTTCTGGCTGTATCATGTTATGGTGCAAGGATGTGAGAGAGAGATGGCCTGGCAAGAGACCCGGCAGGGGTTAGGCTCCTTTTATAACAACCTCCTTTCTTCCAAATGAGTTACTCTTGTGAGACCCAACCCACTCCATACGACCAACTTTAATCCATTCATGAGGGTGGATGTCCTCACCCCCCCACCACCCCAACCCCCACCACCACCCCCATGAAATTACCTTCCACTAGGCCCCGCCTCTTAAAGGTTCCACCACCTTAAAGGTTCCAACACTAACACACTGGGGACCAAGCTTCCAGCACATGAACCTTTGGGGAACACATTCAAACCTCATCCAAACGATGTCAGGGATCCAAGGGAGAAAGGAGGGCTAGGATGGGCTGGTGGAAGGGTCAGGGCATGCTCAGATCACAGGCCAGCAACCAGCTTTCCCTTGCAGACGCCGCATCATGCTGAGCTGTTGGTCAGGAGACCCCAAAGCAAGGCCTGCTTTCTCAGAGCTGGTGGAAATCCTGGGGGACCTGCTTCAGAGTGGGGACCGGCAGGTGAGCCCCATCTGTGCTCTGACCTACTACAATCTCTGACCCTGACTTTGGACTTGCTCTTACTGCCCCCTAAGCTCTGCTCACCTCTCAGCTACCAGACAAGGGTCATGCATGTCCAGGCCCTAGGACCCTGAGCTTGCCCTTTCAGTGCCCACCACCCACATCTCTGTCTCACACCCAGTCACTCAAAGGGAAAACACGGGCATCTTCCTTTTGTGCACACAACCCCTGATGCCTGCTCCAGCTGCCATGCAGATGGTCAGAGATCCTTCTTGCCCATGAGGAGCTCCAGGCTAGTCCTTCCCAGACCTGAAGGTAGCCTCTGACTCCCCAACATAATGGTGATGCGTTCTTTCACCTCCTTGGACCCACTGAGCACCCAGGTCCTGGACTTTTGTGTCTTGCATCCTTCCCTCCCTGGTGGTACTCATGGCTAGTACCTCATGCTTTGGGACCTGGAGGAGTGACCAGGCAGCAGGCTTCTGCCTGAGACTCAGGGACTGGAAAAGGGTAATTTGGGTCTGGTTCTGCCCAAAAGAAAAGGTAAAATGTTTACACTGGTTCTGGAGGCTGCAAGAGCAGCCAAGAGACTGAAGTGAGGATGCTCTGCTGAGGCCCAGCCCAACCTGCCTGCTTCCTCTGCAAAGGGAGACCTGGGAGGACTATTGGGAGAACTGAATGAGGCTGGCCCAGCAAGACTTCAGCAACCTTGACCCCTGCACTGCCTTGAGCATGCTTAAGTCTGCTGGGTTCTGGCAGGAGCTTATTTAATCCTCAGAGCACATGCTCACACACACAGCCCGTCGTGACCCCACCTGAGAGGTCAGGACCCCAGCAGTCCTGAGTGCAGGGGCAGGGCCTGAGGTACAGTCTCTGACCCTGATCAGCTTCCACATTCTTGCCAGGAGGAAGAGGAGGACTGCATAGTCCCATGCAGCTCTCAGAGTTCAGAGGACAGCAGCTTCCTGCAGGCATCCACCACAGCCCTGCATGTGGCCACTGAAGACCTGGAGGACAGCCCGCCCAGCATGCAACGCCACAGCCTGGCTGCGAGGTCCTTGCTTCCCTGGGTCTGGGAATGATGCTGGGGAGGTGGGAGAAGCCGTTTGGAGACAGTATATTTTTATCCTCACACATCATCAAGGAAAAGCAATTTACAGTGACTTGAGAGATGACTTGGATGTTAGAATCATTTAAATAATAGCAGTAGGGTCATCAATGCCCTTGTGGGCTTGGTTAGCAGCTGTAGGGCCCCCTTCAAAGCCTTATGGCCTTACAGCTGTGCTTTCCTCTGAGCCTCCTCAGTCCTGTTTTCTGCCCATCAGTGTTAAGACATTTCCATTGTTATAACAAAATACTGAGTACTGGATTCATTATAAAGAAAAGTGGTTTATTTAGCTCACAGCTCTGGAGGTTCAAGAGCATGGTACTGGTATCTCCTTACCTCTGGAGAGTCACATGGCAGAGCCCATTATGATAGCAGGAGCATATACAGAAGAGAGCATATGGTGGAACAGGAGGTCAGAGGGATTCTGGGGTCAGCACAGCTCTTTTTGTAACAACTCATTTTCTTAGGAATTAGCCAATCTGGAGAGAACTACATTAATACCTTCCAGGGGTAGTCCCCCCCCCACCACCAATGACCTTGTATTCGGCCCCACCTATTAAAAGTTCCACCACCTCAACACTGCCACACTAGGGACCAAGCTTCCATCACACGTACCTTTGAGGACACATTCAAGCCCTTATCCAAACAATAAGGCAATTGGCCTTCTCTAATTCTCTGCACTTCCAACCCCCTCCCTGAAAAGGCCCCCTCACCACAGTTCAAGCAGTACCCATCCCAGTGACATTTTCTTGCAGGAAGACTGTCCAGTAGGTTGGATTTGGGGCCCAGACTCTTCCCAGGGTGTGATCACTCACTGCCACTGTCTTGGAAGCAGAGTCAGCCACTCACTAGTGGTATTCAGCAGTGAGAACTTAGCCTAAGTTCCCAGAATTTTAGCCTTAGGAAGTTGCACCATCCACATTCCCACCAGCCTGGCTAAGAGACATGGAACTGAGAATCTTGCCAGGTCTGCTTCAGCCTAGGGCAGGGCCAGGCCATCCAGTGGCTATAGCAGCAGGACCAGCTTGATGTGCCCCACTTTCCTACTACTGTGCACCCCACTAGGGGACTTTGGAGATTTTATCCTTCTTGTGCAGGTGAGGAAATGCAGCTCAGGGAAGGGGAGGGATGTGCCCAGGATCCCTCAGATGGGGCTGCATGATGGACATCCAAGGTAGGACCAGGGACATGTCCAGACCTCAGGCCCAGGCTCCACCCATGCTCATACCCCACACTGGAGGTCCTTCATCAGGGAGAAGAAGGCAGATTGAGAGGTGAGGGGGAGATTTTAGTAGGGTAGTTGGCTCGTGCCTCTCCAGTACCTTCTGTTTTCTCCCCACAGGTATTATAATTGTGTGTCCTTTCCCGGGTACCTGGCCAGAGGGACTCAGACCCAGGGTGCCCCCAAGATGAAGACCTTTGAAGAATTCCCTATGACCCCAACAACGTACAAAGCCTCTGTGGTAAGGGAAGGGTGGGGGGAGAGATCTGTGTACCTCAGATCAGGGCCAGGGGTACCTCAATGGGAGGTAAGCATCAGAGATTTCTGAAGCAAGTGACAGAAGTCAACTGCTTTTTAAAATGCTATTTTATTATCAGTTAATATGTATAAATTGTACATATTAATGGGGTTCAGTGTGATATTTTGATACATACATACAACATGCACTAATAAAATCCAGCCTCCTTTATCCACCCTTCCCCACCTTCTCAACATCTATTAATCACTATTCTACTTCCAGGTAAATTGGGTTTTTTTAGCTTCCACCTATGAAAGAGACTATATTGTATTTGTCTTTCAATGTCTGGGTAGTTTCACTTGACATAATATCTTCCACTTCCATTCATTCTGCTGCATTGACAATATTTCATCCTTTTTTAGAAATGGAATAATATTCTATTCATCACATTTTCTTTATCCATCTGGTACCTAGCATGATTACATATCCCACCTATTGTCACTACTGCCAAAATAGCATGGGGGTACAGGTATCTCCTTGGCAAAGTCACTTGAAATGTCAAGGCCAGGGAGCACCTCAGGTACTTTTGGGTCTCATACAAAGCCACCACCTTCAATTGTTTTCCCCTGTGTTCTTGTCACTCCCACACAAGGCTCCCCTCCCTGGCAGCCCCAGGTCCTCTTCTTCCCCGGGGGGGGGGGGGGGGGGACAGCTGCCCCTCAGATAGTTCTTGTTGCATCAGCTTAAGTCACAGACTCCCTCCCTCCTTGACTGGCAATTAGTGCCACCAGGCAAGTAGAGGACAGTGGCACTACAAGAGGAAGATGGGATATGAGGAACAGAAAAACTTGTAGTGTCCATTTATATAGTGACACCTGTGTCCTCCTATGTGAGTCAAGCATAGTTGAGCTTAGACAGCTCTGTGAGGGTGGACAAGTATGTCCACTTGTAGAAAAGGAGACTGAACCCTCAGACCTAAGCTCTGGTGAAGCACAGACAGGAGTCATGCCAGGACTTTCAGTGCCAGCCCTCACCTAATGGGACCAGTGAGTTCTGAGCCTGGCCAATGAGCACGGGCCCAAGGAGGTTGGACAGCCAAATCAACAGAGGGAGCCCTCCACCAGTCCACACAGACTCAGGCTCATGTCTCTAGGGCCAAACAAAGACCGAGAGAAGACTGCAGTCCTCTCCAGTGGAATTCAAAATGAAAACCATACCAAGCCACAACTGAGAGGGAACAAAGGCCCACTAAACCCAGGATGTGTGTCTCCAGCAGGATCTGAGTTCCAGATAACTATGAGTTGCCAGAAAATTATTTCACATACTCTCCCCATTTCTCCTATTGCTCCTGTTGTACCCGTACTTTGAGAACATGCTTGGCTACCTTATAGGCTCTCCAGCATGGTGTCCCCATGGCTCCCCCCAGACCTGTTTCTCCCTCTATGGTGGGGACATGTATGGCTCCCCCCAGACCTGTTTCTCCCTCTATGGTGGGGACATGTGACTCACCTGCATGCTCCGGAGGTGATAGAATGGACACCTCCAGCCTGGCTCAGTTTCCACAGGGATAGGTGTTAGATGAGCAGAATGAAGGTGCACACAAGTCCCTTCTTGGCTGGTGCTCACAGCCTGGCCCACAGCCTTGCTGGTTCTCTCCACACAGGATAACCAGACAGACAGTGGGATGGTGCTGGCCTCAGAGGAATTTGAGCGGATAGAGAGCAGGCATAGACAAGACAGTGGATTCAGGTAAGGGCTTGGGAGGCCTCCTCCCCTGCAAAGGTGGGCATTGCCCTCCCTAGGAGGCTCTGAGCAGAGGCCTGGTGAGGGAGGTTGGGGCTTGGTGTGCACTGCCACTCTTATCTAGAACCGTTGGTGGCTCCCTATTGCCTTTTTGTATGTTCAAGGAAAGCTGCTCTAATACTGCAGGACTTTTGTCCCCCATCACCAAAGAGTCCCCCTTCTGGCTGTACCTGGGTGCTGGTCCAAATACCTCCTTTTCATTTGATGGATGATCAGATGTCACATTTTGTGAAACCATGTGTGATCCACTGTGCCCAGTGCACGGGCATGCACATACACACACACACACACACACACCAGCCAAGGGGAGACTACTTTCATCTCCAAACCCCAAATAGCCCATGGTCATTTATCCAGACCACTCCCTTGACCTTAGTGTCTTTGTCAAGAGCCCCTTTTTGGGTTACCTGTCATAGCTTTGCAGAACAAATCCTTGGCTTCTGCCTATGCTGTTTGGAATCAATATATGAAGTTATCAGTAAATATTTTACTCTAAACCTCACCTATTTATTTATATAACAAGAAGACAGTTGATCTTATTTTCACATTTGTTGCAGGTATGTTAATGATTTACAACTTGTCAGTTACAGGTTGAGTATCCACTATCCAAAATACTTGGGACCAGAAGTTTTTGAATTTCAGCTATCAAAATGTTTTGGATTTTAGAATATTTTGCATAGACTTTACCAGTTGAGCATCCAAAAATCAAAAATTTGAAAATGCTTCAAAATTTCAGTTTTCAGAGAAATTTGCATTTTGTAAGCATAAGAGGGACTTTGCAAGTATACTTTAATTTTTCATACAGTTAGTCAGGAAATCAGATATTTTGCCACCTGTTTATTATTAAAATCCTAAATTAGTAACTTGGTTTTAGAAAATTAATGATAGTAATATTTCCTGGAGTATATTTTGGCTTATGTTTCCTTACTAAACAGCATTTTATCACTTAAAAATAATTAAATAAAAGGGTAGGCTGGGGATGTAGATCAATGGTAGAGTGCTTGCCTAGCATTCATGGGGCCTTGGGTTTGATCCCCACCCAAAGAAAGAAGGAGGGGAGGAGGGAGACAATAGACCAGAGTATAATTGTGATTTAAATTCAAGTCTGCACACATCTTGCTAAAAACAACACAGCTTTTCAAGGAGAAGAAGTAAGGCCACTAAGCCCATGTCTATGATGTACCCAGGAAAGTGTGTGTGTGTGTGTGTGTGTGTGTGTGTGTGTCCATCCACACCCAGAACCAGTAGAGCCAATCCTAAGCCATGGCAGAATAGCAGAAGAAGAGTCATATGAAGACTATCCCATGAGAGAAGCATGTGGCAAAGTACTTAGGACAAGCCAGGTGCAATGGCATGCACCTGTAATCCCAGGGATTCAGGAGGCTGAGGCAGGGAAGATCACAAGTTTTGAACCCAGCCTTAGTAACTTAGAGAGACTGTATCTCAAAATAAAACATAAAAAGGCCTAGGGTTGTAGCCAAGTGGTATAATGCCTCTGGATTCAATCCTCAGTACCAAAAAAAAAAAAAAAAAAAAAAAAAAAAACATGTCCTTGGAACAGTGACCAATCCCACTGGGGAGAGAATGGAGGAGGCTGAGAATGGAGGAGGCTGAGCCTGGTAGGAGACAGCAAATCCCCTGGTGCAAGTAGGTGGCCCCAGGGCTGGTGGTCTTGGTAAGCACTGCTTCTGAAAGGGTAGTAAGCTGGAAGGGAATACTGCTTGGTGGCGACCAAAAAAGAAAGTTCCAGAAAATAATAGTCCTACAGAAGCAAGGTAGAATCCAGAATTCAGAAGAAGACACACACAATGATTTGTTCATTACAGAAACTGCGCCTCACTATGGCAGCAACAGAGGGCACAATTCTTCGCACAGGTTCCCTTGGAAACATTATGATAAGCCATGAAAAGGTGCAACAGATCACTGGGCAGGTGTGAAAACTTGGAATAAAGAACCTTCTCCAAACAGGTGCAAAGACAGAATATCTTGGAGACATCTATGGGAAGAAGAAGGAAGTGGTTTACCTGCCCAGCTCCTTCCTGTCTTCTCTTAATCCTTGGTCCACACTCACCCCTGGGGAGTCAACTCTTCTTCACTCCCAGGTTCCATCATCTTTTCAGTGACCCTTCAGGATGCCAGATTCCTTCCCCTGCAGTGTAATGTTTCGTCCAAGTCTGTAGGTGAAAGATCTAGAAAACCTGTGCTTGTGGTTGGCCAGCAAAGGACTGGTTGGCCCTTGGTGGAAGTATGACACCTGTCGTGAAGAGCTGCCTTTGGCAAGAAAGAATTAGTGATACCAAAGATGTGGGTCTGATATGGCACTTTTGAGTGAAGAAACCTAAGAAGCCCTCTATTTTAGTTCATCATATGCTTCCATAACAATACCTGAGAATGGATAACTTAAAATTAGCAGAAATTGATTTGGCTCCTGATTACCAAACCTGGGAAATCCAAGAGTATGGTACCACCATCCGGCAAGGTCCTTCTTGTCGCAAAATCCCATGGCAGAAAGTGAGAGAAACATTGAGAGGACCCAACTGCTTTTATAACAAACCCACTCTTGTGATAACAACATTAATCCACTTGGTGACATAACCAACTCTTAAAAGTCCTGCCTCTCAACACTTGCACTGGGGACTGAGTGTCTAATAGATAAACTTTGGAGGTCACAGTCAGACCATAGCACCATGTGTATCCTCAGCCCCTTTCACAAGATAATCTATTATTTTTGGTGTAGGAAATTCCAACATGAATAATCATGAATGAAAAATTAAGCACTATTCATTCAGAGTTATTGTAAGACTAAAACAGGAAATTAGAATTAAAATTCATAGTGGAGTTTTCTTAAAAAGATGAAAACTTTTTAAGATGAATTAAATATATAATGAAACAAGAAGCTGCACCATAAGTCAGATATTTAAAAAATCCAGAAAATAAATGGAGAGAATGGAGCTATAAAATGGGAACTTATGTCACAAATAAAATGAAGATTTTAAAAAATGACTAAATTTAAGAAGGAAATTGAAAGCAATTTGAGATAAATCTTATCAAAAATGAAGATCAGGGTGCCAGAGGGACAATATATATGAACAGAGTTATAGTGGAGGTTATATAGAGAATGGTCAAGAAAAGAAACTGAAGTAAAAGGATCAGAAAGAAAGATATAGAAGATGAATAGAAGACATACAATATACATAAAAATCAGAGTCCCTGAGGAAGAAAATACAGAGGAGTAAAACTAATATTTTAAACTTATAGTTTAAAGATAATGCTCTTAAATAAACAAATGAAGTCATAAATTTTCATATTAGAAGGATACCTGGGAAAACTGACACATGAATAGTAAATTCTAGTAGAATGATTTGACTTTAAAGAGAAACGTTTAGGGAGTTTAGGCGAAAAAAGAAACCTTAATGACTTTTAAAGGAAACAATTGGTATATCAGGGTTTTCTCAGTAGCACCATGCAGAGCAAAATAATAATAAATCAGCATTTTCCAAAAACTCAAAGGAAGTGACACCTAAGAATGAAGCTTAGGGAAGTGGTCAGAGAAGCCTTCATGGGCTGGAACCTGCAGAGCTTCTTAGGCCGTGATGAGAAACTTGAATTTCTTTCCAAGGGCAATGGTAAGCCACTGAAGGGTGTGTTCTGATGTCATGACTAACTTTAAGGGTCTCTCTGAAGATTGGAGAACAGGGAGGCAGGAGTGAAAGCACAGAGATCTTCCAGGAGAGTATTACAGAGCCTGCGAACCCACTCTTGTGTAGGGATGGAGGGGTAGAGACTTATGCATAGGTGTATTATGGAGTTAGAGTGGACAGGACATCTGGATGCATTGGGTGTGAGAGCTGAAGGAAAGCAAAGACCGCAGCCAGATGCTTGGCTTGAGCCATTGAGTGAACCTTGTTGCCATTTACTGAGATGGGCAGCACAGGGGCAGCCATCTTGGAAGGACACTATTTCCAAATGGGCAGTCTGCTGGACCTCAAATGGCAGGTGGTAAGGGGAAAAGAAAGTCCTAGAAAATAGGGTCCTAATGAAGTAGGATATAATCCAGAATTCAGAAGACAGGTACACAAGGAGTTTGTTCATTAGAGACAATTGCTGCTCACTACAAGTGGCAACAGAGGGCGCTATTCTCTGTATGGCTGGAAATACATCTGATGAACCGTGAAGAGACAGATGCACCAGAGGCATCTGCACTGGGCAGGTGTATCATAGAGAAGCAGGTTTGGGGGAATGCAATCAGACATTCCAGGTGGAACTGTGTCCAAGTTTGGGACAGAAAAAGTTCCCCGGAGTGTTTGTCAGATCAGATTAGTCCTGTTTGCTGTTTAAGCCAAAGGTGTGTGTTTCCCAGAGTCTCTGAACGTGCTGTGTTCAGACTGTGTCTTTGATGATTCCAATCAGAACCTGACCCACATCCGATCTCTTCTGTCTTTTTACTAACGACATCCTCCCTGTCTTGGCAGCTGTAAAGGACCAGGCCAGGATGTGGATGTGTCCAGAGCACACTCTGACCCCCAGGGGAGGCGGCGCCGGCCCAACCGGGGGCCACAAGGAAGTCGGGTGTTTTACAACAGCGAGTACGGGGAGCTTTCGCAGCCATGCGAGGAGGGTGACTGCTCCCCTTCTGCCAGTGGGCCGTTCTTCACAGATGACGGCTACTAAGGCAACACAGGGCAAGGCTCTCTGACCCTGGGCTCCAACAACTGGGGCAGGGAGCTTCCCTGGCTGGGCAAGCAGAGGGCTGGAGACCCAGACTGAGGATCCATCTTCTGTAGTTCCAGTCCTGGACGAGTCTCCTCTTCCTTCTCTACCTAGCTCAGAAGAGCAAGACTCCAGGCTCAAAGGTTCCCCTGAACTTTGTCACCAATATTTGTCCCAGGTCATCTGTCAGGCACCCTTGTCTCCCTCAGATTCAAATGCAGTTTAGCTCAATGTCCACAGGTGCTGGCGCTTAAGCTAGGCACTCCCATGGAGACTGGCTTTTGATTACCTCCTTTTGTTAAAGTTGGAGTGTAACACCATTTTCTGATAAAGAATGAGTATATCTGAGGGTCACACAGAGGTAGAGCTAGCCTTGAGCCAGCATCTCCCAGCCCCCACTTAAAACACTGTCACATCCATGTGTAGCCTTCCATTCCCATCAAGAAAAACTTTCTTCACCTGTCTCTCAAAGATTGAAGAGAGAGCGCCATGTTTTCATCACAAAGTGACAGAGGAGGAATGGGGGGTGGGTTTTATCCTGAGATGGACCAACAACTAACTAATTATGGGACAGCCATCTGTACACGATGACCCGATTATAAAGAGTAAAAAGCAGGATGCCCTGAGTGTTGAGAAGAAACATTCAACCAAACATATTTTTTTCATTAGAACTTTGGAGACTATTATAACTGCTGTGAAGCATTTTCTTTGCAAAACTTCAGTCACAGGGAGCCCAGGGATTGTCTTACTGAATCTAGCCAATTCTTGCTTGAACTCCAACCAAGTCAGGGGCTATCATAGCAGATGCTGCAGTCACCACCTGTCTCTCTTGAGAAGGCCCCAGCCCCTTACCATCTGGCTCAGAATCTGAAAAATCAACTGCTGTTCCAGAGTTGCCTTGTTTGGTTCTGGATATTCCTACCCCAGGTGCTCCCAAGATGTGAACATCCTCATGAAAGATGAACACCATGGGTTCCACTAAGGAAAGCTTTGAGGCTGGCACAGAGAATAGCATTGTCCTGTGCCCCTCAACAATCAGTGGATGTTATTGTGGCCCTGGGAGGACCCTGCCATCTGCCTTTCCTTTGACACCTGGGCAGGTCAAACCTTTGCCCCTAAGGGAGCAGCTGAGAGACCCCTGAAGGCTGGAGCCACTCTGCCCAGACCCCTGTTCCAGCTTACACTGCCCACTCCACCCCCACCAAGATAAAGACCCTCATCTTGGTTAATACCATGGAAATCAACCCTCCCAACTACTCCCTGAGCACCATCCCAACACGACGCTTGCAGGACAGGCGGCCATGCAGCGAGCAGGGGCTTGCTCAGCAGACCCTCCCTACAGAGTGTATTTTTACTTTATGATAGGTTTGTTGAATGCATGTATGACTGTAGTCCTCATTGTCCCCCATGGACCCCCTTCCTCCTTCCTCTTCATGTTACCTGACTGTAGGTCTTGGGTCCCTCTAGCTTACCCAGTGGAAGTTCAGATATTGTTCTTTCTCAGGGGACCAAAGCCTGCAATGTAGGTGCAGCCCTCCCCCCGTGTGTCCCACCCGTTTGTGTCACCTCATCTCCTGCCCACACAAAATGTACTGGGGAAGAAAACCTGCTATGCCCTTGTAGATTCTCTGAAAAGATCTAAAATATTTAACAAATGATAATAATAAATTTGATGCCAGTCTTTGAACTACAATGAATGGATTCTAAGTGAAATTCCAGCTGTCTGAAATTTTGATCTTAACTCTCCCTCCAGATCAACGGGTCCTCTTAGGGCACTTAGGAAACACAGCAAGGAAGTGTGGTTTCCCTAGAATGAGCTGCTGAACTCAGTCTCCATCTCTCCCCAAGCCGACTTCCATCCCCTTAATGTGCCAGCAGATGGCGCAGGGAGGCAGCAGGATGCTGGCTCCCATCCGCAGAGAGGAGATGTGAGCGCCCAGCCCGCTACAAATGCGCTCCCCGCAAACCTATTTTATTTATAAACTAACACAGCAGCTTGTCGCCTCCTACTACAGCCATATGCTTCCCCCTGAGCATCGGTGACCCGTGGACTTGGGGAGCTCAGCCTAGAGTGAATCCTCTGCGTCAGCTCTTAGCGTCCGCATCCTGAATGGCCGCCCCTGCGCAAGGGACTACCCAACACACCCAAAGAAACATTTCCAGAAGGCTGCAGTACGCGCCTGAGATCACCTCTCTGGTTTAATCTTGCCTGTACTCTGAGGTCAGGGAAGTCTGAGCTGGGACCCGGGGCTGAGCACTGGCTCAGGTAGATGATCCCAGCCAGGAGAGTGCAGAGCGCTTAGGCTGCGGCGCCGCTGAGTCCTTCAGGAACCTGTGTGCTATGTCTGTGGAACTTTGTCAGCAGTAAGCGGCTATCTTAGGAGGCAGCAGGAGACTGGGGAATGACACAGGCCACAGGACACAATCTCAGCAAGTTTTCTAGGAGAAGATGGCCAGGCAACTGGCCCAGAGGCTCTAGAGGAAAAGCCAGTGATGTCCACTGGGCGGCAGCAGCCCTGTTAGCTGGTCCCCAGTAGATGAGCGTAGCAGGGCTATCAGCACTGCCCCAATGGGGCCCCTCACTCAGGAGAGCAGAAAGGACCCAGGCAAAAGGTAGAAATCCTGGTCTCTCCCTCCTCTCTGTGGTCTGCTTCCTGTCCATAGCAGTGATACCTGATGTCCCCAGCCTTGTTTTCAAGGTGGGAAGAGGCCCTCCCCATAAAGGCAACTATTAGTGATGGGTTGGTTTTTGTTGTTGTTGTCTTTGTTAATTGCTTTTACTTGTATAGAATAAATCTGAAAGTAGAAAAGATTCCACACTGAACGTTTGTGTGTGTTTGGAATGTTTAATCTTGTACTGTAATTGATAGAACTTGGACAGGATGAGACAACCGTTCCTCTCCAGGTACCCAGGTCACCAAGCCCAAAGTCCACCCACGTAGGAAGTGGCACCCTCTGCTGTACAGCCTTCCCAGGTGGGGCTGCTCTCATATTTCTGGGCTCCTGTGGTCCTGTCTGGACTGGGCCCTTAGTGCTAAACTTTGGTGTCCCCAAAGTCCCACCCCTGCTTTCACTCCCTGGAATACCACAACTCCAAGATTCATGTATAGGAACTTAACCAGCAAGGAGTGGGGGTAACATGAAAGAAGTCACATTAGACAAAAGTGTGCTCCTTCCTACCTCAAAGATCTCTTGGCCCCTTTCATCTCTCAGACTCCAGACTGTGAGCAATGTCCTCCACCCAAAAAGCAGAAAGTAAGAAATAAAGGCCTTTAGCACCCTCAGACAGGTTTCCAGCCCTCAATGCTCATTGTATGGAGGAGGTAGCAAACCCAGGAAGCAGCTTCTGGCATAAACATTGGCTCAATCCTCTTCCCTCTGGTGCCTGCTCTCCCAGGCCACTCCCCAGCATCCCCACATCATTCATAAAGCTGGACATTCAACCCAGATAATTGACCACAAAGTGTCCCCAAGTGATGGCCCATGCCCATGTCACTGGGACCACCCCTACAAATCTTCATATACAGATTCAAAGAACAAGAAGAACAGATCACATCTTCACTGAGAGGGGTCCTTGGTCTCCTCAGCCACCGGACAAAGCTCAGGGCTGAGTATGAAGAATGGGTGATCAGATATGCACCTCGAGGCCAGTGATCCTGGGCATGGCACTGTCCCTCAGAACCTGTTTCTCCTCTGGTACGCATCACACAACAGAGTTTTGGTGATAATAGTTATAAAGCCCCCAGGTACACTGGGAGTGACTATACCACAGAGGAAGCTCCTGCCCCCACCAAGTCAAAACCATAGTGATATCCTTACCTCCCCCTGTCATCATATCACCATGTCCCACTCATCTGCAAAGGGCTGAATATTTGTGTACCTCCAACATTCATTTGCTGAGCCCCTGATGCCAGATGATGTATTAGGAGGTGGGGCATCGGGGAGGTAATAAAGTCATAATGATAGAGACCTCATGAATGGAATTAGTGCCCTTATCAGAAAAAGCCAGTGAACCTCTTCACCCTGTTCCACCTTAAAGAGTGAGAAGTCAGCTTTCCACAAATCAGGAAATGAGCCCACATCAGAAACTGGATCTACTGGTGCCTTAATTTTGTATTTCTCAGCTTCCAGAACTGTGAAAAATAAATGTGTTGTTTAAACCAAGTCTAGAGTCATTTGTTAATAGCAAATCCAAATAAATCACCTTCCTCTTTTCCATCCATTCACAGCAGAATGAACAGGGTACTTCTGGGTAGCAGCAAGTTGAGTGGGACTCTGGTCCAGAGACTGGGCTGGGACCTTCCAGGTCTAATCCACTGATTCACACCCCTCACCTGGCAGGCCTGCAGGCCTGGTGAACAGAGACATCACAGGGCACTGGTCAGTGGGGGAGCTGCTAGTCCTGTGGGGGCAGTGGGCATGAAATGAGCTGAGCACCTATTCAGGACCTGTTCAGGAGGCAATACATAACATATGTAACTTGTATGTCCTCTGAGATGGCTTATGGATTAATATGATCCACCCCTCCCCACCCCAAGTACCTTTCCATTTAGGGAAACATTACTGGGTCCCTTTGGTCATGAACTTGATAGGGCTCCACCCTAACCCAGACAGAAGCAGGTAAGCTGGACCTGATTATATCCAATGTTTCTTTGGCCACCACTATATATGTGGTCAGCATAGACTTTTAGAGCACTGGGAACCCACTGAAACCTTATGGGAAGGCCCTGGGACAGCAGCATGGCTCATTTCCCTAAGCCTGAATCAGCATCTAAAGTTTGTCATTGCCAGCTTCCAGCTTTTCACCCAAGAGGACAACTAACTAAAAAAGAGCCGAGAGGCAGCTGAGAAAAGCAAGGTCCTGCTGATATCATTTGAGCCTCGATCAAGCTTTGCCTGAAGACAGTCCTTGGAATTTCAGTCTTTGCTTTAGCCATGTGCATCAGTTTTTCTGCCACTTT